CCCGCCCGCCGCCGCCGCAGGTGGGAGGCCGCACCATGCTGCCCATCCGCTGGATGCCGCCCGAGAGCATCCTGTACCGCAAGTTCACCACCGAGAGCGACGTGTGGAGCTTCGGCGTGCTGCTCTGGGAGATCTTCGCCTACGGCAAGCAGCCCTGGTACCAGCTCTCCAACGCCGAGGTCAGCCGCGCCCTGGGCCGCCCCCTTCCCTGCCCCTCGTCCCACCCTCCCCCGGGCACCCACCCTCCTGCGACGCTGAGCTCCCTGCACCCAACGTCGCCCTTCCTTGCGTTTGAGACCCCTCTCCTACTCCCGCCTCCGCTTACTGTCCTGAGCGCGGGCTCCTGGGCGAGCCTCAAAGCGCTTTAGAGATGGAGCGCAGACCCCCCTGTAGGGCTGCAGCTTACAGAGCTGATAGGCGTTATCGGGGTGGAAGGGGAGGCGCGGGAAGAGGAGCCCAGCGCGAGAGGGCCTGGCACCGCAGCAGGGGGCCCGGCGGCCGTCAGGGCCTGGGAGGCGCGGCCCTGCCCCCTGCCCGCTGGGCGGCGGAGCGGGCCCCAGGTGCTCCGTCCTCCAGCGCGGCTCCCCCTCCCCCTTCTTGGCTCGCAGCTGTCAGTTTCCATTTCTTCTCCTAATGCAGCCGGCTCCCTGGAGGCGGGTGCGGTGGGGGAGAGGGTTATAGATTTTAATTTTCTCAAGCACTGAGAGAAGGGACGGAATTGGTGCCGCCCACGCTCCAGGTCCTCTAATGGGGAGGGAGAGAAGCGGGGAAGGAGGCCCCAGGCCCCTTCGCCCCCGGCTCCCCTTCAGTCCCCTGAGCAGCTGAGCAGCCTTGGCGGCCCTTCCTGGAGTCGCATTTCGATCTTTCCCGCTGCCATTCCTTCTCGGAGGGGCTCGGTCCCCACAAGCGGTACCTACAGAAGAGAGAGGGCGCGGGCTTGTCCTCTACCTTCAGTGCAAGCAGCCATTGTTCAGGGCCTTTACCCGCAGCTCCGCTCTCCGTTCTTTTTGCCACCCTGGAGCTGACAGGTGCAGGACCCGCCCCCACCTCCATTCAGCCACCATTCAGCCACCGACACTGGGCGGTTGGCTTTGGCGACTGCTTTGGCCCCGTCCCTTCGTCCCACCACTTGGCAGGTCTCCCGAGGGTCTCATTCTGGCCCCTCTGGGTCCAGTCCCACCCCCAGCCCAGCCTTCCCAGAGTCGAGCCCGCCTCAGTCCTTCCCGTGCTCAGAGTCAAGCGGAAGGGAAGCTCGGGGTCCCTGTGTCCTTTTAGGTTATTAATAGCCAGGAGGCCCAGACGCGTTATGGGACCTGCCTGGGGGCCTGGGGGAGGGCCATGCCGGGCTGGCCTCCATGTCCTGCCACAGCCCGGCCGCAGCCCAGGGTGCCCTCTTCTCCCCCCTCCGGTGCCCCCAGGCGATCGAGTGCATCACACAGGGACGGGAGCTGGAGCGGCCGCGTGCCTGCCCCCCGGAGGTCTATGCCATCATGCGGGGCTGCTGGCAGCGGGAGCCCCAGCAGCGGCACAGCATCAAGGACGTGCAGGCCCGGCTGCAGGCCCTGGCCCAGGCGCCTCCTGTCTACCTGGACATCCTGGGCTAGGGGCTGCCTGCAGCCACCCCACAGCTCCCGGGCGACCCCGAAGCCTCCGACTCGCCCTCAGCATGCGGGCAGGGTCGAGTGGGGTCTGGGAGGGCGGCGTGCCCTCTGCCCCAGGGAGGGTTCCATCGCAGCAATTATATTTATTATCCCTCGGCCGTGTCTCTTGCCCATTCTTGGGAAGACGTCGATCAGGAGTGGGGTCTGGGACTCCAGGAGGGTGACTCTCTGAGGTCCCCTGTCCACCTGGCGGAGAGGCAGCCCTGGGCCGAGCTTCCCCGCCTCGGCCTTGACCGCCCGTCTCCACACTGGGTGCTCCAAGGCGAGGCCGGAGCTGCGGCAGGAGGGATGGCAGTTAGTGTCATGGGGACAGAGCGGAAATGTTGGGGGGTGTCTTCCCTGCCCGGGACAGAGTGAGCAGATGGTGGGGCGGATGGGAGAGCACTCCTGTGCCAGTGCTGTGTGTGCGTGTGCGTGTCTATGCGTGTGCTCGTGCCTGTGTGTGCATGTGCGTGTGCCTGTGTGTGCATGTATGTGTGCGTGTGTGCATGCCTGTGTGTGGATGTATGCGTGTGCGCGTGCGTGTCTGTGCGTGTGCCCGTGCCTGTGTGTGTGCATGTATGCGTGGATGCACGTGCCTGTGTGTGCATGTATGCATGCGTGTGCATGTGCGCGTATCTGTGTGCATGTATGCGTGCGTGTGTGTGCATGCCTGTGTGTGCATGTATGCGTGCGTGTGTGTGCATGCCTGTGTGTGCATGTATGCGTGCGTGTGTGTGCATGCCTGTGTGTGCATGTATGCGTGCGTGTGTGTGCATGCCTGTGTGTGCATGTATGCGTGCGTGTGTGTGCATGCCTGTGTGTGCATGTATGCGTGCGTGTGTGTGCATGCCTGTGTGTGCATGTATGCGTGCGTGTGCATGTGCGTGTATCTGTGTGCATGTATGCGTGCGTGTGCATGCCTGTGTGTGCATGTATGCGTGCGTGTGCGTGTGCCTGTGTGTGGGCGTACGCGGGACAGGACCAGGAAGGAGCAGGGGAAGGGACCGTGAGGGAGGCAGGACCCCTTGTCCCCCTCCGTCATTCTTCTTGGCTCACGGTGCTTCGAGGTCAGCACCTGGAGGCTGGGGGCGGGACAAAGCCATCTGTCTTTCTCCCTGTCCTGCCTGATGGAGGGGGCGGGGTCTCCTTTCTCTCCCCTTGGAACTTCACTGGCCTTGCTGAGGGGCCAAGGCTTCTGTCGGCACAGAGGCTGAGTGTGGCCCCCACCCCCAGGACCTGGGCCCTGCCCCCATCTCCCTCACCCCAGCAGCCCCCACCCCCAGCCCATCACTTCCAATCACCTGCCCAGCTCCTGCGATAACCCACGCTCCCCACAGCTCCTCAGGGCTAATGGCGTGACTGCTTCATGTCCCTGTGTGCCCAGTCCCCCGCCACCGTGATTCAATCTGGGTCTTATCGTCCCCAGGCCTGGCCCGGTGGTGTCTGCCTCTTGTCTAGGCTGGTTAGTGCTGATGGAGGTCTGGGCAGGGCTGCAGGCTGACCGGTGGGGGTCTGGCAGCTGAGGGCAAGCCCACAGGCCCTCCGCTCCTGCCCTGGGGTGGTGGGGGGTGCTGCTGTGCCACCCCTGTGAGAGCAAGTAGTGTCACCTGGGGAGAGAGACAGGGCGGGCGTCAGACCTGACAGGTGAGCCTGGAGACAGGTGCCAAGAGGCAGTGCAGACAGACGGGGGCGGATCCTGCAGACCTGGAGACTCAGAGGTGGCAGGAGGTGGTGGAGACACTCAGACGGAGGGACAGAGGGACAGAGGGACAGCCGAGTGGGACGAGCTGCCGAGTCAGTGTCCTGGAGAACAGCATGGACTGTCTCAGTCACACTCCCACCTCCCCACCTCCTCTGTCCCCAAGCCCGGGGGCCGAGGAGGGGGTGGGACAGCCAGCCTTGGAGACGCAGAGGGGAGAGGCCTTGGGCTCTGAGGTTTGGCCCTGCTGAGCAGGACGGAGGCCATCGCTGGAGCTGAGGGGATGGCAGGCAGGTAGCAGAAGGGCCCAGCAGGCACATGGAGCGTTTCCAAGGTCAAGAGCATCAGGGCAGCAGAGGCTCTTCAGACCACAGCTGGAGGTCTTGCTGGAAAGGCTGGGCAGGCGAAGGGCGATGGGGGGCTCCGCGCACGCGCTTCAGACAGGGAAGGAAAAACCCCATCGAGTGTGGGGGAGGGAACTGGGGTTCACGGATGCGGACAGCCCTGAAGCCGGTCACTCTGCCCCCTCGGGCAAGGATGGCCTTGTCCCGGGTGCTGTGGAGGGCTCGCACGGCACTACTGGCCTCCCCGAGGGACACGCGTGGCACAGCCACGTCACTCTGGCCTGCCCCACACAGCTAGGCACACGTGTGCAAGAGCACGCACACCCGCAGCCCCCGTGACTCATAGCTGCTGGATTTCCTTGTCACCGATGGTACCCTGTACCCCCCACTGCGGCACACGTCCCCTCCCTGATGGGCACCTCCCGCAATGTCAAGATAACGGGCTGCACCCCACACACAGCGGGCGCTGAGTGCCAGCTGAGGTGGACGCCTGCAGGTCGAGGGAATGGGCCCCTCGGTGCCCCATGGGGAGTGGGGTCAGGGACAGCAATCTGAGGCTCTGGAGACCAGACATCCGGGTCCACCAGGCTGGTGTGGGCCCCTCCCTCCTCCCTCTTGGTTGGAAGACCGAGGCTCAGAAAGGTGGGGGGCACCTAGCTTGTGCCAGCTCGTCCAAGCGTCTGGGAGAGAGGGAGGCAGTGATGCAGGAGCCAGCAGGCCCCCCAGGGCCCCCCAATGGGACTGGCCTCTCTGGAGAACTTAGGGTACAGGCCGTCCTGACCCCCTCAGCCTTCCCAGGCAGCCCCAGCTCCTTCCTGTCCTGCTCCCTAGAGGCCAAGTTCCCGACAGAAGGGCAGAGCGCCTGCTCTGGCTTCCAGGAGCAGAGGGGGTGGGGCGCTGGGGCGGCCTGGGGAGCGTGCCCCAGTCCCCCGGAACCCCCAGCTGCAGCCCACACGCTCTGCTGGGAGCGCTGCCTCTGCCCATCTCCCCTCCACGGGCCCTTCCTCCTCTTCTGGGGCTAGGCTGCCTGGAGAAGCTTCCAGACTCCGGAGCCAGAGTGCCTGAGTCTGCACTTACCAGCTGTGTGATGTCGGCAGGTCACTCAGCCTCGCAGTGCCTTAGTGTCCTCTTCGAGCGGGGACAGGACTGGCCCTGACCTCACACGGCTGTCGTGAGGTTTGAACCGGTGGCCTGCGTGGAGCTGCTGCGGGGCCCGGCCGGCCGGGGCGGGGGCCCCGTGAACGGTTGCTGTTTCTGTTACTGCTCCCCACGCCCCCGCCCTCCTCCTGCCACAGCCTTTCTGCCACCCTCCTCCAGGCCCTGGTTTTTGGGGGTGGGGGGCCAGGCCAGCAGGGGCATGGTTTGGGGCAACAGGCCTCACAGAAGAGAAGCTGCTGTCCCCTGGTCCCCAGCGCCCGTCCAGCTGCGGCTGCTCCCGGGAGGACTTGCCTGGCTGTGGAGCGTGTGAGGCGAGGGGCTCTTTCCTGCCTCCGAAGGCTGTGGCTGCAGGTCCCTGGGCTGCCCCACCCGCCCCCGTGCAGGAAGAGCCGCCACCACAGAGAGGGCAGGGCCAGAGCACCCCACAAACCGCCCCGTCACTTCCAGCCCCTGACTCCTGATTTTCCTCAGCTCACCTCCTCCTGGCAGCCCTCGGGGATTAGACTCAGAGCTTGGCACCAAGGTCATGAACCCTCACAGGCTGAGTCAGGTCTCTGGCATACTTGTCTGGGGGTGGGAGACATGCTCCCAAGGCCTTCTATCCCGAATCCCTGCGGCCCCTCGTTCCCAAGTATCTAGCCGTCCTCCCTGCTCCGGCCCCCTGCTCCCCCTGGGTCTGAAGGGGTCAGTCTGTTCAGCCCGCACACTGCAGGTCCTGGCTACCTGGGGCCTGCGGTCAGAGCAATGCAGGCCGGAGGTGGAGGACGAGGGGAGGGAGTTCTCCGCATCCTCATCTTTGAGGGATGTCGATTGTGGGGTCTCCAGCCTCACTTGGTCTTATAACGGGACTCGTGGAGTTGATGGGGGGGGGCTCAGGGGAACCTTATGGAGCCTCCAGCCCGTACTGTGCCGGGGGCGGGGGGTGGGTGTCTGCCTGGGTCTTCTTGAAGGAAGATGCGTGGAGACAAAATTTGGGAGGCAAGGGCCCTGGGGGGTGTGGAGTTAGGACGTCCTGGGTGCGGAGCAGATGCGGGGGCAGAAAGCTGGGGTGGACCTGGCCTCCGGCGCCTTTCCCGACGCTTCGCTGTACTCAGTTTCTCAGTTTTGTACTGCATGTTGGTCAGAGGTTGCTGTCCTTTACCACATGGGCTTTTCACAACATGAGAGGGAGATGAGAGAAGAGAGAGGAGAGAGAAAGAGAGACAGACAGAGAGAGACGGAGGGAGAGAGAGAGAGAGAGAGAGAATGAATATGCAGGTGAGCTAGAGAGACCCGAGTTGGCAGTGCAGGGGGAGAAGGTGCGGCCCACGACACTTGAGGCTCTGACGCCTCCCCTGCCCTCTCCCTGCACGTGGGGTGGGTGGCGCCTCACTGGGGACTGTGCTGCCCCTTCTCAGCCCGGAGCCACTTCGGTCCCATGTCTGGTTTTGTGTTTGCGTGCGCTAGTGAAGGTTTGTGCTAATCCCCGCTCCCAGCCTGGAACCAGAAGGGACACAGGCAGGGAGGGGGCCGGGGGGCCTGGCTGTCCTCTCCAGAGTGGCCCCTCTCCCAGCCGGATGCTCTTCAGCCCCTGCCTGACCATCTTCAGGCGCGGGGTCGGTGCACCTCAGAGAGGGAGGTGGGGGGTGTGGGGTGCCGGGCAGGGGACACACCTCCCTTCCTCCCATCACTGTCTTCCTCTCTCCTCTCTTCCTTCGGAAGTGGGGAGCAGGAGAAGCTTCTCGGGCAGGGGTCAGACCTGGTTCCTTGTCCCTGAGGAGCTGGCTTCCCCCCGCTGGGCTGGGAGAGGAGGTAATTAATGACATGGAGGCCAGGAGGGGACAGTGTTCAAGGCTAATGTTGTATTAATCAGGACCTGGTCCCCAGGAGGGACAGGACTCAGCTGGGGTGAGGGGATGTTGGGGGGGCTCCCGGGACCCAGGAGCTCCTGACTCCCCCCCAGCCTCCCTCCCTCCCTGCCCACGGTGCCTGCCACCCAGCCCTTGCCCGTGTTTTACTGGAAGTCCCTCCTGCTCTCTGCCCTCTGACCTCCTGCCAGGATCCCTCCCCTGGTCCAAGCCCACCCTGGGTGTGGGGTGGGCAGCCCCCCGAACCCTACTCGCCCTA